CAAATTCTGGTGAATAGTTTCTGCTACATTCACTCTCTAGAGAATACACAATAACAAAAATCTGAAAGATGAAAAGCATTGTGTTGTGTATTGCTAGCATTTAATGGAAGCCCAATTACACCCTAACCATAGCTGCAATTTAATAATTGCACATTGGCTTTAGGTGTACATTGATTAAGAGATTTGAGGTACAGGATAGAAAGTGCTGAATGAATTTGAACATTGTCCTTTTTGCTTTCTAAAAATATACTGAATTTGCAGTTCATTACCAAATGCAGCAACATTTTGTTAAATTTTTCTTAACTCTTAAATATTTTCTGCTTTCTTGTTTTAGTTAGAGATTGTACTATCAGATGGGCTTCAGTGCATTGATGTAATGAGATGCTGCCTGTAGAATAAAGATCTGCTCTTGTCCTCTCTTGTGTGCATTTTGTAAATTAAGGCATGACAGGAGGAAAAGGAGCGAACTGATTGGATGTGTTACATCTGCAGACGATTAACATGACTGCTGCAGTTTGCTTCCTCAGTGTTGGAGCATTCAACTGCAGACAGCTTTGATTGTGGAAGAGAAAGCAAGCAAGAGGGAGGAACATATGATAGCCTTTTAAATTTTAATGGTATCTGATCTCCTTGATGCATGCATGTTCAGTGGTTTTTCTGTGGAATCAAGACGATGAAGGTCTTTAATTTTATATTATTGAATCAGCAAGGCCTTAAATGATGTAAGGTGAAATGGGGTTCCAGTGTAACTGTCTCTGAAGAACTGCGGCTTTCATGGTGAGTGAATGTATCAGACATGATGCTCGGAATGTATGCAACATCTTAGGCAGTATATTAAAATAGTACATTATTTGCAGCACCACCACGGAGAATGGTAAGCTGTTACTGTGCTGATTGCTAGTAAAAACAAAATAGGCTAGAGAGTAGCTTTCAAATGTATAGTTAAAAATGTAAACCTTAAGATAATCTCTTGTAGGTATTAAAATCCTTTTTAAAAATACGTAAAATCAACTTCTCAAAAGGAGAATATTTTCTCTTTGTGCAGAGCAAGGTTGTTTCAACATGAAATATGTTGAAGTACTATATCTTCATGAAGGTGGTGATTAAGGAGAGTATACCACTGCTAAATGAAAAATAAATCAGGCTGTTTTGTTCCTTTAGCAAGATTAAAAACAGATGTTGGGTACATTAGTCTTTAACTAGTAGCTTTCGAAATAAACACACAATATAAATAATTTCCAGACCCCTTATGCATCATGCTTCAAAATCTTTATTGGTAATGAGGTGTAAAGCAAGCAAAATGTGTGCATGTTATTGTTTAACTATTTTTGTCATTTCACTTAAAATTTTAAAGTAGACCTGCTGTCACGGCATATACCTTAAAAGTTTTATTTGGAGAGTTAAGTCTCAAATGGTTGTTTCATCCTATATGAGTTGCACATGTATATCTATTACTATATTGGTTTAATACCTCTTAATCTGTATATATTTATAAACAAGCAAGAGTAATGAAACTTATTTTAAGAGCTGTTCAGCAATTCAAGAGGTGTTTGCTAGCTACAGTATGTCTGCATGTACAGATCTTGCTACACTCTCAATCACAAATATTCTTAATGTGAATTTGCGTAGAGTTCAGAATCTACTTCATAGCTGTATCTTCAGAGACTGCATCCTCTGTTCATTAACGTGAGGATTATTTAAAAGCTGTTGTCTTCTGATTTTTTAATAACATAAAAATATTTTGAAATGAGTTGTGAATATTGACTGTCAAATATTGTCATTTTTACTCCTTTTTGGATTTTGCTTGAAAGGGTAAAAATACTATTGACAATTCATACAGCTTGTTTTATAAAATGTGCCACTCCCATTTTAGGAGCATGCTGCTGATGATACAAGTTCACTGGTCTCTTTTACACTGTAGTGTTCAGTAAAACATCCAAAGACATTTGCTAAAATATAGAGGAGGAGGATTTGGGCTTTAGAGGGGTGGAATAATAGTATCTCTTAATGAGCCAGCATCTTAAATAACCACAACAAAGTAACCTCTAAAATTTGTTGGTATTTCAATATCATATTTATATAGTAACAGAGTGAGAGAGAGTGTGTGTGTGTGGTGGAAAAGATGTTGGGCTGGAAAAAAATGGGTCTTGTGTGAATGAAGTATTTTCAAAATCTGTTCTTCTATACAGAAAACAAAATCCCCACTCCAGAACATTGTGTAAAGTCCCTTAAACCTCCCAGAAACAGCTCTGTTTTTCAGTCACTCTTCAGCTGAATGCAAACTCTTTCTAAAACATGTCTTTTCACAAATTCCATAAAACAGGTCACTTAATTCTCATTCCTTTTTAAAATTGTGTTGTTGTTTTTTTTTTAGTCGGTCTTCTGTGTATGCTTTAGGAAGAGCAATATATAATGAGTTCCATACATCATCTTCAATTTCTTTTTAACTTAATTTAATGTGCTTTCTATTAGTAATAATCCAAACAATTAAAATGTTGTTGTAAATTTAGGAACAAGGATCAGTTGGCCATTGGAAGCAGTAATACGTGTTAATGTTTGATTAAGTTAATTTTCAAAAACAACTAATTTTGTCATATAAGAATAAAATGCAGGCTTGTAATTGATAGAGAGAAATTGGGAGAGGGAGTGGAGTTTAACTGTAACAGCTTCATTCAACTGAGTAAAACTGATGTACTCCAGATTTATGATAGTGTAATTGAGGACATGTTTTGGCATTGTGCCTTTTAATGCATTTCTATCTCAGTTATGATCAGTAGTTTTCCAGGGGGTTGTTAAAATTTTAAGCACAGCAACTTTATTTTATCTTTGAGTTTCCAAGTATGTAATCTGTTAGTGTCTCCACCCTTGGCACATTTCTTTGTACCTCTTCTCTACACTCTGGATATAGTTTTGCATAGAGAAGAGCTTAGTCAGTACAAACTAAATAGCCAATACATAAATACTGTTCATGATAGTTTAAATCAGTCTGGTGGCTGCTACTCTTTGGAAGTCAAACTAATACAACAGTGGTATTTAACATATTGGAAATTAACCTCATGATAGCACCATGATTTTCCAGATGGATCATAGAGTGCTCTTTTCATTCATATTGCTGTGGAAACATGACACTCGTTCTTTGGAGAGAGAGTACAAATACTTCTGTATCCACTGCAGTTGATGGAAACCCTCAGGCTTTGGGGGCAGAAACCATCTTTGGGGGCAGAAACCACCTTTGAGAAGGGAATTAGGAATAAAGTTTCCATATACACAGGTTAAGGAATAACTGCTTATTGCAGAGTATCTTGCATCCTTCTCTGAAGCATGTGGTATTGGTAATCTTTAGACTATGGGTCTAACCTAATATGGCAATTTGTGTTCCTAAATCAGGAAAATTGGGGATTCCTCTAACTTTGGCCTAACAGCTCCACAGTCCTACATTGTCCTGTCTTCTCTATCGGTGGTTTCCAAATGCTTCTTTTCTCCCCCCACTTCTCATATTACTTTAAAATTTCAGATACTAGGTCCAGATTACATGTAATAATTATATAACTTTTTTTCTATGATTTAGCTTGGCAGAAGCATGAAGGAATAAGGGATTGGGAGTTTGGGAGAAGACCTTTGGCCTTCCCTCTTGGTGCAAATATTAATGGTTATACACACAGCTGAGGCAGAGTGTTAAAAATGTTTGTTTCTAGTGTGTTGCAGCTGTCTGCTATGGCAGACCATTAGCAGAGATGTTGCAGTTTTCTATTAATGTGGTCTGTAGTGTGTAGATGGAGCTAAAACAGACTGTCACATTATTCTGCATCTGTTTCAGCAGAGAAAGCAAAGATGCTGCATTTTTTTAAAAAGTACTTTTCAAGCCATTCAGTAAATTAGGTACCTACTTTGGAAATCCTGAATGACCAAGCCTGCTTCAGTTGTACTAGGGCCTTTTAAAAATACTTCCTTAGTGGTTTTCTATATAGTTTACATGGTGGTTTAAAATAAATAAATCAGCCTCTCAGTATTCTTTGGAAGAAGTTTTCATCAATGAGAATGTAGAAGAGTCTCATGGATGCACCCACAAATTACTTGTTTATAGTACTCAGATTTTGCAGACAGTGTTGCATTTGTGAGGTGGCAGACTATATGATAAGAATTTAACACATTAAGTATTTGTAATTTTGACTTTTTTTCCTCATAGACCAAATACGAACACTTTAAAATTAGCTTTATTTGTAGAATACCATCATTGGTGATGTGCCTAACTCACTGGTTCACGTGCCGTAGTAGGGTGGAACATGAGTTGGTTTATCAGAATAAGGATCCATTAAAACTACATTTAAAAAAATATTAAAGGTAGTTTGAGTTTTAGACATGGCAATATGCTGGGTCTTAAAGTTTAGAACCTTAGGCCTAGTGTAAATAATATTTCAAAATGAAATAAGCAATAAATAGGTTTTCTGTTTAGCCACAATTAAAGTATTTCCTCTTCATTCCGCTTGGATATATTTACAAATGGTTTGAGTAGGAGAAATAGTTTAGAGCCAGATATAAAGACAAAGTGTTTATTGCTTTAAAGAATTTTGGTTTGGAAGTCTGCAGTCATGAAATAGTGATTTTTCTGCACTTCATCAATAGATCAAATCTTAAAGATGAGTGTAAAATGTTTAGCATATTCAAGTATCACTCTTAGCAACAGCTCATACAGTCTTCAACTTGAGTTTTTAAAATATTACTTGTAGAAGTAAATTTAGACTAACTTTTTAAAAATGAAGGGAATTAGACCATTACTCAATACAATTTTAAGTGTTGTCTTCACTTTGGGGGATTACTATTGACTTTGATTCAAGACATTTTTTTAAATGATAATGGGAGTTTGATTATGAATTGTACAGAAAGGTTTCATAAGTTTTCCGGAAAGTGTTCTCATCTTGCATGTTTCTGTAGTTGTTGCGATACAGTGCACGGCTTTGATATTCTCCATCAGTGTAACCAATTATATTCTTTTTGTGCAGGAATATGAAGAAAAAACTGGACGAGCTCACAAGCCACTCTCTCCTAAACAGAATGTGAGGAAAAATCTTGACTTTGAACCCCTTTCCACCACAGCGCTTATTCTAGAAGACAGGCCAGCGTAAGTTCTGCATATTACCATAGTAGAGGCCTCTTAAACTTAGGATGGAAAAACCTTTCTCACTGTGCATATTTTATGACTATAAATTATTTAAGCAGATGAGTTGTTGGTTTTTTTGTTTGTTTTTTTTAACCCAAACTTCCAAACTACTGAATAAATGAATGGCATATTTCTAAGGCATATTAATAAAATCTACTGTAAGTTTCAATCTTTTTGTATAAAAAAAACCTAATTACTGTCTAACACTGGTGGTGGTTTAAAAAATAATTAAAAAAAAAAATTAATTAGCTTACAAACATGAATGGCTAAGTAGTTCATCTTTAACGTAACCCAAGAATAAAAAATTAACAAGCACTTGCTGAAGAATCTGAGGGTAGCAAGGATAATGTGTCCCTGGCACAGCAGATGTCCAATCTTCATAAATAATGAAGCAGTGTACCAGAGAATGCTCTGTGGTGGGTTCAGTGTCACAGTACGAAGGATGTCAGGCACTTGATAGGTTGGCTTATCCTCTTATTTTACGCAGAAGTATTCTTATACAACCAAACCCATATCAGACTTCTTGGAAAGAACTGTATTGTGGTTTGTCTCTTACTTCTACATATGCTTTTTTGGAGAATTTATGCTGAATGTCTGGCTTTACTGCATGCAGAAACAGATAAAAAAAAAACCTAAATCACCATGGCAGGCTGAATTTTAAATAGTCTATTTAAAGTAGTTGTGTGTGCAGTTTAAAGATAAGAGTAAATGAAAACAAAACCTGATGTAGAATAATATATTACATATTTTTCACAAGTGCATTTCCACTGTTTAATGACTGTGAAAATAGCTCATATCAAATTGTCTACCAATATATCGTGTTAGTTACTTGGGGTACATCTATACTACCCGCTGGATCAGTGGGTAGTGTTCGATGTATCGGAGATCAATTTATCGCGTCTCATCTGGACGCGATAAATCGATCCCTGAATCGACGCCCCATACTCCACCTCGACAGGAGGAGTTAAGCGTAGTTGACGGGGGAACCATGGCAGTCGACTTGCCGCCTTGAGGACGGCAAGGTAAGTCGAACTAAGATACTTCGACTTCAGCTATGCGAATAACGTCGCTGAAGTTGCATATCTTAGTTCGAACCCCCCTGCTAGTGTAGCCCAGGCCTTAGCTTATAAAGCTGTCTGGCTGTGATGGGGCTAAAGCACATAATATTTTTCTTGCACATACAGAACAGTGGTCAAGTCTTTTATTAAGTGCTAGGTATATGTGTTCAATCATAAAATATGTTATATGTTAACGTGGCGACTCCTATATAGTGTTGGGGCAGGACTGTTCATTCAATGAAAACAAACTGATACTCATCCCTTCAGATGCCTGATATAGAGCTATCAACCTAGACAGGGATTCCAGATCCACTCTGCTGGCCATTGCATTCGCACCATCAGTAATTGTGGCCCAGGGACCAATGATACCCATTATGGGGTCTGCCTCCATACCCCAACAGCCCAGCCCATCATCCTTTTTGGGCCTCTGGGCTCCATACTTCTGGTCACCTGAATATGAGGATCCTATTTTCCACACCAAGCAGTGGTTACCACCAGATGGAGAACTGCAGTCCCCACAGGAGCAGTGGATGGAGGATTGGCCATAACTGCTGGTGCTACCAGACTCACCAATATCACTCTCTTCATCCTGTCCCAATGAGGCAGTATTATCAGCCTTTCCCTCACCCCCCAGATAATTTTCAACAGTACCAGGCCCTTCTTGGGAGAATCACAGACTCTCCAGATTTCACTGAAAGAGGTCGAGGATGCAGCCCACACGTTCCCGGACATCCTCTAGGATATGGTTCCTTCTAAAGTGGCACCCCCAATTAATGAGGCCGTCATGGAACCTGCCAGAGTGAACTGGCACATTGCTGCTACCTGTGCCCAGATGCCAAAGAGGGCTGAAAAATGCCTCTGTATTCTCCCTAAGGGAGCGGAATTCCTGTTTTCAGACCCTAATCCCAATCCCCTGGTCGTCCAGGTTGTTAAAGAAAGAACTCAACTACACCAGTCCAAATCCACTACAGCCAAAGGACTTGACCTCTTTGGAAGGAAGTGGTTTTTTTTTTTTTTTCAGCTAGCTTAGCATTCTGAATGGCGAATTACCATGCTTTTGTTGTTCAAGTGTGACTTTTTGAATTACAACTAGCTGTCAGCGTTAAAGAACAAACACCCTCAGGATTGCAGGCTTCGGTTCTGGTTATCCTGGTTAACCAGTTACAGAATCTTCCCTCCAGGCATCCCTTGACACAGTGTCACTCCAATGACTACCTCAGTAGTCATGAGACGGACTTTGTGCCTGTAGACCTTGTGGTTCCCCTGAGGAATCCAAATCACCATGGAGGAATTTCCCTTTGAGGATTGCCACTCTGAGCTATCTTACCACTCTAAGGATGTTTATACTTTGCCATCCCTGAAGCAAATACTTCAGGCCTCTTCTCTCTCAACATCGACCACTGCCTTCATACTTCCTTCAACGGAGGATGTATGAACCCCCCAAGAAATTAGAGGATGCAGCGAGATAGGCACCCTGCATCACCATCCTTCACTTTGCCACCTCTTCAAAAGTCATTTTTGATGTCCCAGCTGAGGTTCAACAACCAGTCTCCACAATACCTGCTACCACACCCTGCAGTGACTGCCCGGCCCATTTTCTTCCGATGTGGTGCACTATTACAATGGACAAATGGGTCCTGGATGTTGTATCAAATGGCTACCAGCTAGATTCGCTTCTCTCCCAGTTCTCTGACCCATCTTTCTTCAAGGACCTCTCCCATAAGAGAATTCTCAAACAGGAGGTTGACTTCCTCCTTCAGTTGGGAACAATAGAGCCAATACCATTCCCTCATGTAGGAAAGAACTTTTTCTCAAGGAACTTTAACTTGGCCTTTAATACCCTCCCTCTACTCATGTGACTGGTTTATGGCCCTTGATTTGAAAGATGCATATTTTCATTTGGATATTCCCCCTGCTATCAGAAGTTTTCTGCTCTTCACAGTGGGCCAAGAGCACTTTCAATGCAAGGTATTCCTCTTCAGCTTCTTGATGGCCCCAAGGGTGTTTATGAAAGTTCTTGCAGTGGTGGCCGCATCTCTTTGTAGACAAGGAAGATTGATATTTCCTGGGTGATTGGCTGCTCATGGATCAGTCATGCCAATAGGTACAAGCAACAACCATCACTGCACTCCCAACTATTTCATTCATTAGAACTCCAAGTAAATTTAGACAAGTTCATGTTGACACGCACACAAAACACAGTATTAATTGGGGTGGAATTCAGTCACAGGAAGGGCCTATTTACCTCACAACCGATTCCTCACCATGAGGGATCTCCTCAACCAGCTTCGCCTTAGCCTTCACTCTTCAGCCCAATCCTGCCTCATCCTTTTAGGCCACATGACTCTGTGTACCTGTGTCACTCCATTTGCATGACTGCAACTAAAGTGCCTTCAAATCTGGTTATGGACAACCTATCCCCCAAATACCATGTAGGATGTTGGGGGGGGGGTGGCTTTCTTCTTGCAGCACTTACAAAGGCACTCATCATGGATGCCTTCCTGCTAGGATGCAGAGCACATCTTGATGACCAGACAGCCCAAGGCTCCTGGTCCCCTCAGGAATCCATCCAGACTACATATCAACCTGTTCAAGTTTTGAGCAGTTTCGGAATGGCTTGCAGGCTTCGTACCCATCATTCAGTCCATACACATTTGGACAACCACCTATCTATTATATAAACAAGAAGGAAAGAGCAAGATTCTCCCTCCCCCACCCCCCAAAAAGGTAGTCCACCTCTGGAATTTGTGCATCAGGCACAGAATCATACTCTCAGAAGTACACATCCCAGGAGTGATGAATTCCCTGGCAGACAGCCTCAGCAGGCATTTACATATGGACCAGATATGGGAACGCCACCGATCAACAGCACAGCACATCTTCCAACAATGGTGGCAGGGTGGGGGTGGTCATGTTTTGGATATCGCAACACAGCATAACAAAGTGCCTGGCTTACTACTTCCCCAGGCATCTAAGGCCTCGGCTCCAGAGGGGATGCCTTCCTGGTGCAGTGGTGAGAACCACTGGTGTATGATTTTCTTGCCATAATTCTACTTCCTTGGTAATCAGGTAGAGGGCTACTCAAGCTTTAATCATCCTACTAATACAAAGTTACTGAAGGGTGTCATAAGGACACTTCTTCTCTCTCTCCTCTCCTCCCCCCCCCCAGCTCTGAAACCAGTCCTTGTCTGAATCTGAACCTTGTCTTCTCTGTTCTCATGAGGCCACCGTTCAAACTTTTGGCCTTCTATTCACCCCCCTTGTACCTTTCTTTGAAAGTTGCCTTGTTGACAGAAGTTGCCTTTGCTAGAAGGGTTGGGGAGCTTGGGGGGTCCCTGTGGTGGACCTGCCTTGTGAAAAACTGTATATAAGGACAAGATTTCTTTGAAGCTACATCCAGAGTTCATACCTGAAGTGGCCTTCTGAGTTCCACCCTAACCAGACTGTTCACCTTCTAGTATTTTACGCTAAGCTTCACCACAGCATGGAGAAGACAAGACTCCATTCCTTGGACATGCATAGGACTCCAGCCTTCTACCTGCACAGAACAGCACCTGTTCAAAAGTCCCCAAGGGTGTTCGTGGCTAGTGCTGAAAGAATGAAGGGGAAAGTATTTTTCCCCCCAAAGACTCTCTAAAAGGATTTTCTCCTACATCATCCTTTGCTATGATCATATGAAAGCCCCTTCTCCTCAAACCATCAGGGCCCATTCTATGAGCACCCCAGTGGCTTCAGTAGCCTCCATACAGGGAATCACCCTTTCAGAAATATACAAAGCAGCTACTTGGGGATCAATATGCACCTTCACCAGGAATTATGCTCTGGTCCAAGCTTTGTCTGTGGATATCTCCTTTGGTTCAGTGATCCTCCTCATTATGGTACTGTTACCTGGGGTTTCCTAAACCCAGAATGCTTGGTAATTTTACTCTCTGCAAGGCAGTGTTAGGAAATAAATCAGTAGAGACCCAGCACCTCCGTCTGCTAGATGGTTGATATAAATCACACAAAGTAAGTGCTTTCACTTAAAGCCTTTATTTTATTAGTCTCCTGCACTCTCACAGGAATGCCTTCACTCGAAGCTGCTGCTTTATTTAGTCTCAAGCACATACAAATACAATACGTTATAAAGCACCCCCAAATAATAGTTACCCATGGTTTGGAGGGGTCTTGAATGGTCAAATGACAAGGCTCAAGTGGTCAGCTATCTGCCTGTCACTGGGGATTCCAAGTCACATTCAGATAGTCAAATCCAAATTCCTCAGACCGGTCTACTCCCTTTGTTAGTAACTGCTACAATCACATCAACATGTCAATCAAAGAAAAACAATCAAGCAAGCATTTTTAAGCTGTTAGTTATACAGATGTGGTTTTGCAGAGTCTGCAGTCTCATGAGTCCCGACGCACACAAACCAGAAGTCAAATATAGAGACACTTTCTGTTTTTCACAGATGCTTACCCCAGCGTATCAGGAAGGGCGCAGAGTTAGGCTCGCTCCTTGTGATTGCTTCCCCCTCCCTCCTAACTTTGCCTTAGTTAAGCTAAGTTCCTACAAAGGCCTTACAGGTGTTTTGAGCAATAAGCAAAATAATTGATATTTCAGTACTGACAGTGGCCTAGGCATTCTGCTGTGTTGCCATTGTCTCCCCTGACAGTACAGCATACTTCCTTGCTTCCTCTTCCTCAAAGAGCACAGCCTGGGGGTCATCTGTATTCCCCTTCCAAGGCCTACTTCAGGGAGTGGGGAAGTTGAAGAAGAAAAACTCTTAAATGTAAACTTGCTGTTAATGTTTTCTTTGGATCCCTCTACTTTTAACACCCTCAGAAGGCACAAACCTTAATCATGGCACACGTTGTATGGCTAATACCTGAGGCATAGGTTAAGTGAGAAGATCCTCCCCCCCAAAAAAATTTAAATGGGATTATTTGGCAATTCAGTGAACCCTGTGTACTCCCTCTCTTCCCTGTTTTCCCTTTCAACCATTATGCAACTTATAGAGCTACAGCATCACCTGTAAGAAAGCAAGGCATTAAGAAGACTTAATGGCCCGGGAAGTGACTTATGTAGAATAACCTATTACCTTTGTAGTTTCATATACATGGTTAAAGATACATGGCTGCACGAAAACTCATCTTAGCCATTCCTATAACAACCTTGACTCTTAGCCACAAGACACATATTATGAATGCTTTTAGTTTATATACATCACAAATATAATAATTATGGAATTAATGACTTAGATGTTCAAACATATCTATGTTGATGTGTATGTTGAGAGTGGATAGCTGTCTTCTGAGCAAGAGTTGTTAAAGGAATGTGTAAGGTGAATTAGAGACCAGATGAGTGAGGTAATATTGTCACATGTCAGTATTAACTAAATGTATAAACTGTAAAGGATAATAGAATACATACAAACTTATTAGTCACTTCCTGTCTTAATACTTGGATAATGCTGTAGTATATTTTGTATAATGGTTTATGTTAATTACTTCAGCAGCATTAACTCTAAGTTAATAAAGATCTTTGTATGACAATGGGCTTTTGTGCAGTGAGAATATAATCCGGGCTTTTAGTAATTGAACTAACACCAAATTGTTGGCCTAGGGTTCAGTGATTAGCTAGTAGTGGTGGGGAACAGGGGACCCTTGCAACTGGAGGAGTGAGGAGAGGAATTAGGGACAGAGTTTTGAAATAGGGAGGAAGGTCTCTGAGAGCAGAAGGGAGAGAGTTAGTTAGAATTGGGAGATGTGACTGCACAGGTAAAGGAGGGGATGTGGGTGGAGTCTGTGTACTGACAGGTTTCAGAGTAGCAGCCGTGTTAGTCTGTATCCTCAAAAAGAACAGGAGTATCCGAAGAAGTGGGTTGTAGCCCACGAAAGCTTATGCGCTAATAAATGTTAGTCTCTAAGGTGCCACAAGTACTCCTGTTCTTTCTGTGTACTGAGGATCTGTGACAGGAAGAAAGAAGGTGGATAGAATGAAAATTTTGCATCCTTGACAAGTAGCTGTAGAAAATACTCTGATTCAGTATAGCAGCCTTAAACACGTAAACTGGATAAGCATTAGTATATTCTATTGGCTTGCGAAAATTATTCAGTGTGTTCACTGAAGAGTGCTCAAATTACAAAACAAAAGGAAATTACTCAGCATTTTTTCTGTGTAGAATGATTGTATGCTGTCAGTGTTCTTTCCTTATCTTTTGTTGTCATTTGTGGAAAAATCTCCCCAAAAAACTGACAAGTCGCAGTATTATGCTTCTGCCTTACTTTGCCCAGAGATTTTAAAGTTATGCATGCCAAACTAAAATTACATTTTTTTTAAATCAAGGAACCTCCCTGCAAAACCAGCAGAAGAAGCACAGAAACATAGACAACAGTACGAAGAAATGGTGGTGCAAGCAAAAAAAAGAGGTGATGGGTTTACTCTTACATCAGGAAATGTAAAGGGATGTTAAATCTAAAAATATACTTGCCTCAATATCTGCCCTTTTAATATGACAAA